TGTTAGATAGGTAAATTCGTGAGAATTGTGTCCTATGTATGTAAACGCCCCTAAAAAGTTTTGTCAACTTTTATTCCGACAAAACCTTTTAGGTGTTGGATAGGCAAGAACTATATTAGTGGCAAGATTACATATCTGTTTTCTACTATTATGTTTATGCTCAAATCTATATTTTTAACAGCAACTTTAGTTTTATCGATTCTTGCAGCTTTTTTAAGTATCTTCATATTTTATCTTAGAAAAGGATACAAAATGATCCCTCTAGTATCTGTGAGAGGCCATTTTAATCTCCTACCCTATGAAATTGTTCGATTTAGTCCCAAACTCTTTAAATACTGTCCAAAATATTACTGATATACAAAGTATTACTAAGGAGTGAAAGGTTTTATACGTGATTGTGTGTTTGGAAACTCGTGATGATAGAGAGTTTAACATTTTAGTATTGTACTAAGATTTAGTACACAGATAAAAAAAGATGATGAGAAACACTAGTTTTTACATGAAAATTTTGAAAACTAAAAAAACTGCAGGCATAACCCTATTAAAAGAACTCAACTAGTGTGTCATAAGTTGTAAATAATGTCATTCACTGGAAATTAGGGAAGGCGTTGATACATTGCAATATATATGAACTCGGACGATGGATTCAATGTTGGAATTGGAGGATCTTTAAGCCGTTTTCGAGAGATTGATTGTTGTTTGTTTAGCCAGGAGAGGAGACTTAAGAGGAATTTCGGTTTAAATCAGTGTTTATGTCAAATATTTGATTTGATCTCGAAGGCATACATCAATCTTATTAAGGATGAAGTTCATTGAAGTTGTGGCAATGATAGGCAACGAAGTTTGTGGGAGTCAGTATTGGTGTCAGTAGGATACCTCTGTCTTATAGATGATGGTGTTAACAACACATATTAGTCTTATAGGCTATAGCATGTGTTGTCGACAACTTTGGACTATAAAGTCGTCATATGCTAGTAGCTGGGGTTGTTGTTTGAGAGATTATAGCTGTGCAACAATTGATTGAACGATAGTGATTAAGCGACAATGATTACTCGATGACAATTTCTGATAGTGATCGTCAACATCGAATGTCGAGTGTATCTTTATAGTTCTTTTGATATGCATGTTCTCTAAATTTCACGTCAAAGTTCAAGCTTCGAGCTCCCCGCCATGTGGAGAATGGGACCCAATTATAATTATAGTTCGAATGCAATGGAGAACTGCTAAGGGCTCGTCTGACGAAGCTTTATCTTTCAGAAAAAATTGTTTAAAAGCAACGGCCTAAAAAATTCCATTTGAAAGTATCTTCGGTAAAACAAGATGGTTCTTTGAATATGGCGACAAATGAGCAGGGTAGAAGCAAGAAAATTGCAGTTACAGACGAGAGAATGCGGAACATAGGTCTGAAAGTCGCTGCGTCATCGCATTCAGAATCTGGCCGAAGCCGACGTTGCGGTGAAAAAAAGTTCGGCGAAGGTGCTGATCCAAATGAGAGTTATTTTTTTTTTTTCTCCTCATGCACACCATGACACCACAAAGAAGTTGAGACGCTTGGTCAAAGCTTGCAGGGAGCTGCTGTGCATTCTGTCCTGTCTATTGGAAGAACCTATTTTTGTAATTTCATCTCTTGCTAGTATGAGAAATTAAATAATGATGTTTGCACATATCACTTTAGTATTTACATATCTAATAGCTAAAATTTTGATATTTACACATATCATTTTGATGTCATAAATTTATAAATGAAAATTTATATTTCACATTAAAAATTAATAATTATGATATTTTTATTGTGATGTTAAAGTTTTGAGGATTATATATATATATATATATGGGGCATTTACATACATACCACCTAATCTATGGGGCATTTCATGAAAATTCCTAATTGTTTAATTAAGAAAATTGAGAGTTGTTTTAATAAATTTCTTTGGGCCGGTAAAGATTCTAAACTCATTGGATGAGTTGGAAGAAAATGTGCAAACAAATTCATAATGGAGGTTTGGGATTTAGAAGCATTACAGATTCTATGCATATCAGCTACATGAAGCTTTGGTTTCATTTTCGTAAAGGTAATTCTATTTGGTCCAATTTATTGAGGATTAAATACTGTGGTAACTCTCATCCCCTTTCTATTATTTCTAATTCTAATTATTCTTTTATTTGGAAAGAAATACTTAAAGTTGCTCGTATTACTGAAGATTTTATTTGTTGGGATGTTGGTGAAAGAAATTGTAGTTTTTGGTATGATTGGTGGATAGGAGATGATCCTTTGGGCTAATTCGAATTCGTGTCCTTGCGATATTAATTTTTCTATTAATAACTGTTGGAATAATGGTCATTGCGAATTTTTTGAACTTTGTAGTTTAGTTTTGAAGGATCAAACAATTCTTATCGAAAAAATTCCTATTACAAATGATGTTGGCAATATCAATATTAAAGGTAATTATGGAGTTTCTATTTCTAAAACTTTTGTTAGATCCTTACCTTATTCCAATGGTTTTGTTTTATCTTGGGCCTTCTTTTATTAAGTCTTCTCAGTAATTTTTCATTTGGAGGCTTTTTCATCATATCTTACCTACTAATGATATTCTTAAATTAAAAGGTTTACGTCTTCTTTCTCGATGTTTTCTTTGTAAACATGATGAAGATAATTTGGAGCATATTTTTATTTCTTGCACCTATGCTAAGGAGGTTTGGAATACTGTTTTCACTTTTTGTGATATGTCGATAAATGATGTCACTCATTTTTTCATCAATGGTTTTTTAACTTTTGGAGATATGTTGATGAGATTATTTTTTTTTTACCTCTATTCCTATTATTGTTTATTGGTACCTTTGATTTGTTAGGAATAAATCTAAACATAATTACAATTTCATTACTACTCATTCTTGCTTTATCTTCATTACTAATTTTATTTATAATATACTTCGTTTTGGTATTTTTAAAAAACATTTGGGTTTGAAATTACGAAACATCTTTGCTAGATGTAATATAGATATTCCTTCTTATTGTAAGCTTATTACTAATTTAATTCGCTGGAATAAACCTTTGCGTGACTTTCTTAAAAGTAATATTGATGGAAGTTAGAATGATTTTTTTGCTGGAATTGGAGTGTGTCCAAATTTTGAAGGAAAATGTATTTTCTGGTTTTCTGCTCCTACTATTGTTGTATCTCCTATTTGTTCTGAAGCTAAAACCGTTATAATTGCATTAACTTTAGTTGTTATTTGCGGTTGGCATTTGATTGATATTAAGAAGGATTCTTTGAAACTTTGGAACTATTGTACTAAGAAGAAAACGTATCATTGGAGTCTTATTATTCAAATGAAAAAAATATTTGCTCCTTAAGATTGTGCAGGTTAATTAGCTATATACATATTGAGAAAGAAACCAATGAGCAAATTGGGCTGCTAAGCGTGGATTAGAGAAACAAGACTTCATATTTTCGGTTCGAATACCTTATGAGCTTTTTATTCTTATTCATGGTGATTATTTAGAAACTCCTTATATTCGTGTGATAGTATTTTTTAGATTTTTTTGCGTGACTTGTACTTAGTGACTGACAGTTTCTTAAGTTGTATTTCTTTGCTTGAGTTGGGTGGTTGGTATGTAGTGAAACTGTCGGTCACAAACCATGTAACCCTTTTTTTATTGGAATAAAATTTTCTACGAGATTCTTTAAAAATAAAAAAATTTACATATCTAATATTTAAACTTTTTTTTTTTAACTTTTACCACTCAATCCATTCATATGATCATATCACATCAAAAATATCACACTATTTACTTAAAAAAAAATGAAATATATTTTTCATACATACCTAAGCTGGTATGTACATATAATTAATGTAATAGTTTTATATAAATTATACTAATATAAATGGATTGTATAGCAATAAATTAAAATGATTATGATAATAAACATAATAAACTGTTTTGACTTATTAATTTTAATATATAAAAACAACAATAAATAAATAAAATGTCAGGTTGAAAGATTCTCCATAAAGCGAAAAAAATTTGCGTACGTCGTGCGATAGCCACTAGGAGTATGCCACTTATTTTGCGGCGGTCCCACAACATTTAAATAACCGCGTGTGACCCGTCGACCCAGCCCGTGATGTAACACGCCTGTAACCTCTTATGTACCCTTTCAGTACCTTTCGCCATAATCTCCTATGTAACGCGCTTGTAACCTTCTATGTACTCTAGGTGTACCCTTCCCGCTATACCGCGCTTTATAACGTAACTTTAACTTCCGTATAACATCGTCGCCGCGGAAGGAGAGTTATACCATTCCTGTAACTCGATTATAACCGCGGTATAACAGAATATGAAGCCGGTATAGCGGAACCGCGCTTGTAACCCTCATAGATTAGAGATTATACCCTTCGTGTAACTGCCTTGTAACGAACGATTAAGTTCGTTCAATTGAAACCGCGCGTGTACCCTGAGCGTAAATACAATGTACATGATTTAAAATTGGAGCGCGCGAATCATGCTATTTAAGCAGCAAGGTTTACTGTTTTATTGTTCTCTGGTCATTTTCTTCTGCAACGGCAACTTCCAGTAGCTGGACCTGTTGAACTTGAAGATGGAGTACGAGTACAGAGACTGTCATTTTTTGTATGACGCAGAAAGACAAGATGAGAGTTATTCTGTCAGGAAAGAAGAAGTGGAACTTAAAATGGAGGTTTGTTTGGAGATGTTTTATTATTATATTTAGTTAGGGTTTTCTTTAATGTTATTTGTTGTTAGGGTTTTCTTATTTTTAGGATGTATCCGTATTTTTGAAGGTGTATGTATGTTGAGTTATGTTTGTAGAGTTGAATGGTGTTAGGTTTAATAGAAACAGTGAATTAAATGACTTTTTTGAGGCGCATGTTTGTAGAGGTGTATGGTTTTAGGTTTATTTTTTTTTTAGTTGTCATTATCAAGTTTAGGGTTGTTTTTTGAGCTGTCTATTGAGCCTAACATTTTATTCTCTTGTGTGCAGTTTGATGAGAGCAAAGCTAGTTTTACCGAGCAAGCAACAAACATATTACTCCAAACGATGGTCCACAATGAGAAAGATGCTTATGGAGTATATTCTGCTTATGCTCATCATATTGGATTCAGTATTCGTAAGGAGTACGCTACGTTTTGGCCTAACTCCAGAAATATCAAGACGAAGGACTTCGTATGTGGAAAATCAGGTTTCAAGAAAGAGCTCAAGATTACAGAAACTGTTAAATATAGAAGAGTAGAAACAAGAATTAGTTGCCGTGCAATGATTCAATACAGAGTTGATGAGGAAGTCAATTGGAAAGTTAAATATAATTGAATCGCATAACCACTCATTAGCGAACTCTGTTGACAAACACTTGTTGCGTTCCAACAGAAAGATAAGTGAAGTAAATGCAAATGTGCTTAGATCCATGACACAGTCGGGGATAAGACCAAAAGACGCGTTTAACTTTCTAGCTCAAGAGGTTAGGGTGTAGAGAACCTAGAATGTACAAAGACAGATGCTTTCAATTTCATTCAAAGAGAAAAGAGATTTAGAATTGAAAATAGTGATGTCAATATTTTATTGCAGTTGTTTGCAGAGTGACGTGTTGAGGATAACATGTTTGAATGAGATTTTGAAACTGATGTGAGCAGCAGCCTGATGAGTTTTTTTTTTAGCGACGGGACATCGAGACTTGATTATGACTGTTTTGGAGATGTGATTATTTTTTATACGAGCTATAAGTTAAATAAATATAACTTATGTTGTGCTCCTATTGTTGATGTTAATCACAATTGACAGAATGTTATATTTGGAGTCGGATTCTTGTCAGAGGAGACAGCGGGATAGTTTAAATGATTTTTTAAAACTTTCATCCATATCATGAGTGATAATCATTCAATAACAATCTACACTGATCAGGATCAGACTATGACCAAAGCAATAGCAGAGATTTTGCCAAATACACGACATAGATTATGTCAATGACACACATACAAGAAACTGCCTACAAAGTTTCATTGCGGGGTGGTGAATAAGATAGTCAGTGATCTTTTTTATAAATGCTTGAGCAAATGCGAGTCCGAATAGGAATTTGATGGTCCATGGGAGGTGATGATTGAGACGTGTAATCTGCAGGACAATGTGTGACTAGATGATAAGTACAAAATTAGACATAAGTGATCTACATCTTTTAATAAAGATGTATTTGGAATGAGAATTTTATCTACACAGAGGAGTGAATCAACCAATAAGTTCACCTATAACCACTTTATATATAGGAAAGCAACAAAGTGTTTCTACAATCAAAGCCCTCGAATCACCACAATGTCATCCACCCATATCCTCAATACCTGATTTTCTAACACAGGTACAAATTTAATGCTAATTTTTTTAATTGTTTATGCTGTAATATGAAGATTTCATGTTGTCACTAATACATTGATATACACTGCAGAATTCTTTTGCTTCACAGAACAATCATTCCTACACCGCCATGATGACGGACTCCCTGAATAATACAACAATGCCTCAATGGCCAGAATATCTGTAAAAGATGCTGAAATTCAGACTTGTAATGCATAAATTCAGATTTTGGCTCCAATTCAGAACTTCTGTTTTGCAGAAATTCAGATTTGTAATCATGCAATTCACATTTTTGGCTCTAATGCAGAAATTCAGATTTGTAATCCTGTAATTCAGATTTTGGCATATCTCCTGTGTTTCATATTTATAAACTTTGCAATGCATATATCCTGTGTTGCAGAAATTCAGATTTTTGTCTTTTGTCCTGTGTTGCAGAAATTCAGAAATTCATGTGTCCCATTTGTAAACTTTGTAATGCATACATCCTGTGTTGCAGAAATTGATGTTTGCCTTTTGTCCCATTTCATATTTGCCTTTTGTCCCATTTCATCTAATTCTAATGCAGCAATTCTAATTCTAATGCAGCAATTCAGATATGCAGAAATTGATGTTATCAGATTTTTGGCTCAGATATTCTAATTCAAATTTTTCCCATAAAAATGTGCAGTTGGCTTTTTTTAAGCTAAAATGATGGTATATTTCATGTGCTGTGAAAGATTTGGGTGGTATAAAGGTAAAAAAAAAACAATAAAATTTGGCTGTTCGATATCTAAATGCGTTTGAATTAGTTGGTATGTAGGTAAATGCTTGTGTCAATTGCTGTTACAACATCAATCAAATGCTCAATCCAACAAATGCCAAATTACAATAACACACTCAAATGCTCAATCCAACAAATCCAACAAATGCCAAATTACAGTAACCCAGAAAGGATCATACAGGATTTAATAAGGAGGGGAGGTAGATCCCCGAAACTAAGAGCCAAACTACAATAACACACTCATAGAGGTTCCACCTCCCACAGTACAAAATCCCCACAAAAAAAGACTCCAAAATTACATACAAGAATGTCCAAAACTAATGAAACAACTAACAGTAATCCGTCTAAGGTGGGAGATGAGCAGCACTGCAAAACATGATGAAGAAGAACACCACCGAAAACAAGGTGAAGGAAGAGTACCACCAAAAAATTATACTGAATCTCGCATCTTTAAAAGCAACATCGCAACATCGCAAAACAACACTTGCAACTTAAAATAAATCAAATAACGATTTTGCATCTCAAATCAGCATCTCAAAACACAAAGATCAAATCAACACTTGCATCTCAAATCAACATCTTAAAATAAGTATTTTTAACTTGAGTACCTGGATCTGTTATATTAAGAAAGAAAACCAAGATCATTCTTTAAGAATTATATTCCGGACAAAGTGAATTTACATGAACATATATTATTGACAAAGCATCTTTAACTTTAGCACATGGATCTGCAATATTAAGAAAGCAAAGCAAGATAATTCCTTAAGAACTTTAGCTCAAAATGATGATTTTTTTTTCTTTGCAAAAGTTTATTTGAAGACTCCCTTGGTGAATAGTTACTAGCTGGCGGGGCATTATTCCACTATGCAGTTAACCCTCTATTTGACATGTTTATCAGGAGTGCAACTTCGTCTGAATAAAATTTTAGTTTTTTTCCTCCGAAGTTGAATGTCATTTGATCAATATTCCAATAATTTATTATGTGCATAATTTATTATGTGCATTGTCATTATGTGCATTGTCAGAATATGATCTTGAGGGTGCGGAAGGAGTTCAAAAAACTGAGCTAAACTCATGGTTTCCAATTTATTCCATGTTTCCTCGTCCACTAATGTTCGAACCTTATCGAGGACTTCTCGTACTGCAGATGGATGACACCTACAGTTCATTGATTTTGCGCTAAAAAACCTACAATAATACAACATAATAGTTTAAGATCTAATTAAAATCCAAATGATGATAAAAGGGTGAATTTAAAAATAAAACATAACAACAAAACCAAGTTTTACGGATTAGAAATCAAAACCTAAAAATACATAGATTCAATCTCCTTCTTCTTCTTTGAGTCCTTCTCCTTACGACTACTCTTGACCATTTGCGGTGCCTCTTCACATTCGAGTTTCTCAGCCTCTCCCAAATCAGCTACATTGGCCTCTTCCAAATTCGTCTTCGTAATCTCGGCGATGTCCTCTTTCATTTTAATGTCCCTTCACAGAAGCAATCCAAACTCTAGTGCTCTAACCTTCAAAAGGAAGACGACGAAGATAATCCTAGCAAGCGCGAATGCCTGTTTTTCGAAAATGAAAAGTTATTGTCTGGCTTCTAACTTTTACCAAGGTTATAAACCACTATTTTTGGAGGTTATACAAATGTTACAATTCGTAATTAGGGGGTTACAAAGGATTATAACCACTATTTTGCGGTGACGGGATTAATATTCTGTTACATCGAGATTACAATGAAGTTACACAAATGATATACCACTCGTACCACGGCTACGAGGTTATATGGAAGGTGCAGTAAGGTTATAAACGCGGTATCACGGTCTGAGTGGGAAAAGCTACACGTCGAGTACAGCGAGGTTACAAGAGCGTTAATGCAGGCTGACCACAGGATTTAAAAGAAGGGTACATCGAAGTTACATAGGAAATTACAAGAGCGTTACATCGCAGGCCGGGTCGGCGGGTCACGCGCGACAATTTCTATTTCTTTTATTATTTAAATGTCGTGGGACTGCTATAAAATACGTGGCACACTACTACAGGCTATCGCACGCAGCGCTATGTCTATCTTCCGTACGCAATGTTTTTCCCCATAAAGCCTTTCCTATGTATATGTGTGTGTGTGTGTGACATTTACATGCATTTCACCCAATCCTTATGTATTTACATATCTAACATTTACACTTTATTTTCTACCTATACCCCCAAATTTTTCATATCACATCCAAAATATCATACTTTTTAACTTTAAAAAGCAATGAAATATATTTTTTTCATGGTAGTACGTAAAAATTGAAATTTACGTACTATATTTGTAAATACATAGGAATTGAGGGGTACTGTTATAAATCCTCTTAACTAGTATACATCGTCCTGCTCTTCACGCCGGCGACCCTAAACCCTGATCATATCAACTCGCCGCCGATGTCCGTCACCGGAATACGCCATCTTACAAACCAACTCCGGTTTCTGCCTCGGAGAGCACATCTCCGAAACCAGCGGACATCCCTCCAAGCAATTATCCCCAAATCTCCCCTCCATTTCTCCCGCCAAAAACTGTTCCGGAACCCTACCTTCCAGAAAATTTCCGGCTAGAAATAGCCGCCGGAACGCCGCGCCTTTCTTCTCTTCATGGTATTGCCACGGTATTTCTCCCTTCAGCTGGTTATAACTCACCGTGACCGCCACCAGCGATGGATACCCCGCTAGCTCCGGAGCCAGTTGTCCCCCGATCCGATTAAACCCTAGGTCCACCGCAACGAGATTCTGTCCGCCATTATCGCCGACGGCGACCGGCCACACCTCCCATTTCTCGAAGCTGTTGTTCGCCAGATTCACTTGCTGGATCTTAGGGAGTTTCAGAAGCCAGCCCTCTACATGCCCGCTGAGTCGATTTCCGGCGAGATCGGCGACTTCCAGTATCCGCAGTGGCGCGAACGCCGATCGGTTTAGAAATCCCGATAGAGAATTCCCTCTAAGAGCTAGGGTTACCAGATTTGGTGGGAGAGAAGAAGGGATCGGGCCGATGAGGCGATTGTAGCTGAAATCGAGGATAGCGAGAGCAGAGAGAGTGGAAACAGAGGCGGGGATGTAGCCGGAGAAGGAGTTGCGGGAGAGTTCTAGCGTTTGCAGGTACGAAAGATTTGATAGAAGAGAGAAAGGGATCGTGCCTGTGAAGTAGTTAGAGGTGAGGATGAGGGATTGGAGTTTGGAGAGGGAGGAGAAAGAAGAAGGGATTGAGCCGTGGAAGAAATTGCTGGATAGGTCTAGTGTTTGGAGGTGGGAGAGATTGGATATGACAGGGGGAAGATAGCCGGAGTATCCGGCGGGATCGAGGGCGATTGCCGTGATTCGACCGTCGCTGGAGCAGGAGAGGCCGCACAGAGAAGTTCGGCATGGGTCTGAGAAAGCAGAGAAGTTCCATGAAGAAAGGCAGGAGAAGGGAGGAATCGAGGAGGGGATGATAGCCGATTTGAGTGCGGCTAGAGCTGCGGCGTCGGAGGGGAAGGTGATGGAGGCCGCCGGCGAGCAGAAATGGAGCAGGAGGAGCACGGCGAAGTGGAGCAAGAGGTAAGTCATCGAATCCCTGCTTTCTTTGATATCTCTCTACTCCCTCTGAATTTGGGCGGCTAGTTATTGCGGGGAATTGAAATGGTGGCGTCAGGAAGACGATGGATGTGATGTGGTCTACAAATTTCATTACTATTACTATTATCTTTTGGGTCTTAGATCCGTTTAGAATTTTCTTAAATTTACATAGGTTGTTTAAAAATGCAATTTTTTAGTTTTTTTAAATTTTGTTAAAACAAATTTAGTGGTCAAAACTCTAAAGATCAAATTTTGGCCACTAAATCTTAAAATTTTAAATTTCAACTTGCCAAAATCTTATTTTTTTTTTTTTAAATAGTTAGTGATCAATCAATTATATTAAAGGTTTAGGCGGGTTTTAGAGGGTTTAAATGTAAAATTTTGAGTTTGGATGATCAATTCTTTTTATTTAAAGATTTTGAGGGTTTTTATGTAAAGACTCTTATTAATGTTGTTATTATATTGGACTCACAGCCCTAAGAAAAAATTCAAAGAGAAAGGGAGGGGAGAGAAAGTTTAATAATTGTTTATAAGTGTGGCATTTAGTAACAGCTCATCAAGGTTTAATTTTTAGCTATGGATGGGGGTAGTTAGCATTATTCATTAATTAATTAAATAGAGAAGATTTTCTAATAAAGGTTCAAGCTACACTAATCATGAATTTACCTATAGGACCTCAACAAATTTTAGCTGACATTTTAGAACTACACATGGATATCAATGAAATTCATTAAATATAAACTATATTAAGTTATTTAATAACTTGTGATTCATAATCTTGAAGGTGTTGCATTTAATTTCTACCTTTTATAAATTTATGTGATGAGAATTATTTTTTACATTTAGATTTGTTAGATCTATTAAAGTGTAGTAGTTGCGGAAAAGCTATTGTTCGAGCTTTGAACTATATATATACATTTGTTATTTTCATATTAATTTTCAAAAATCTTATTTCATGCGCAATAATTTTACGATCATCTTTAAAAAAAAAAATAATGATGCAAGCGACCTTTTAGTATGTAGATCTTTCTATCTTGGACGTCTTTGAAGTGTATGCACTGTGCTCTCACTTATAAGGCAATTTGCTTTAAAATTTATTTATTATAGCATTAGTCTATCTTGAATATCACATATTTATGCAACTCCACTATGGATATTAACACATGAACGCCCATAGATTAGTCTAGATATAAAACTGACAACTAAGTCAACAAGAACTATAAACATCTCGCTTTGTTATAATGGTGATAAGAATGAAGAGACGTTTCTTGTTGTGATGAATAAGTATAAAATTTATATGCATCCATTATCACTAGTGTCATTATGATTCAATATGAAACTTGAAGGATGATGAGACTCAATTTTTCAGTCATATTGACCATAGGTCCAAAAGCTCTCAATCAATTATTATTTTGGTTTGTCACAAATATTGGTGATGATATCATTCCTTGTAGCTCATGTACATTCCCTAATGAGATACGTAAGATGTTATCTTTACTCCATTTGACATTCTCTAGAACTTTTTACTCTTTCTTCTCTTATGCTCGAATTCGTTCTTTGGCTTGAGCATCACAATGTCATCGTTAGAAACATTAGGATAGCTCATCATGTTCTGGGTTTTGTTTAGAAGATATTCAACCAAATCTCAAATTCAGTTTCAACACACAATAATTGTTGGGAATGATGAAAGGCTAGTTATGTTATTTTGATCAAATTATTGTTAGACCAATAGCTTCATAATTGTATATTTACTGGTTATGTCAACCTTATTGGTGATGGTATGTATTTTATGAAAAGCTCATGCATGACTCATTTCTATAGGCTAAACAAATAGTTCCCATAAAATAGAATAACGATGCTTCTCAAATTTCTTATTGATAATAGAATATATCCAAGGAATGAACTCGTCCATAACCAGAGCAAGAAGACGAACTCAATCAATCGAGTTCATGGGAGACTCGCTAACCAAGCTTGAGACAGACTTCTCAATAAGATTGAGATAGACTCGCCATACCGTATTTAGGATGGACTCGCCTGTTGGGTCCAAAGATGGGTCTCCTAGTTGGGTTTGAGGTTTCAATCGGACTAACAAGACAAAGCCACATGCACTCGTCCACACATCAAATCAAATTCACACTGTCATCCATACATCTGACAGAGATAATATTTTCTCCAGCAGAACAAAAAAAACAATACCAATGTCACTCTTAATAGAATATGACTAAGGAGCGGCGCCATTCAACGTGCATTTTCGATTCGATTCCTTGAAAACTATATTGTAAAATGAAAATCAGTGAAGCCATTTTGAAAGAACTTATTTTTTTAAAATTTCATGAGACAAATATTACGAGTTAAAAAATTTACCATATTTTCATTAAGATCAAATCAAATATCAAAAGTTATTTTTCAAAAAAAATTACATGCCGCTATAAGTAAAAGGAGATAATTGCATTATGTTTTGTGTTATGAAATGCTTTTGCTGTTTTTCGTAAGCATGGGCTTTCATTGCCGTTATCATTGAATTGAAGGGCTTACAATAGATTTTATTTGACATATAATTGAAATATAGATGTACAGGTATAAGTTCTGGCTTTAATATATCACGTCATTTTCATCAGTTAGGCGGGGAGGCCAATTTCTTTTTGCATATTCAACAAGTATTTTGGAGGAAATTTAATGGGCAAGAGGACAAAAACACAGTGACAGATGGTCAAGCGAAAGATATCTTAAACAGGTCAGCATGACACCTATCTGGTCCAGTTGACCAGCTGCAACTCAAGAGAAGACTATGGGCGGATCGAGCCAAGGATCACATTCTATCCGAACAAGGAGAGAAGTAGCTCCAAACCTCGCCCAGATACCATCAGATGCCTTGCAAGAGTCTCAAGACTCTTCAGGAGACCTTAAGTTCTTATCATCGGACACTCATCAAGGCTCAAGCCCTCTAGGCGGATCTCTTGCCAAAAGGGGGCGAGCTACTATTCGTTACGGTGATTTACCTTTTGTCTCATAACATAGCTCGCTCCCAACAACATGAATTTGCCGTCCCAGGCTCAACAGCCGACAATCTGACTAAAACCAATCGAATGAAGTTCAGACGATCAAACTGAGCCTAGACGACAAAAGGACCACCAAGGCCGATCGACCGCCCTAACATAACAAAGTTGACCGAATGCACAGGTCCAATCTAGAGGACTCAGACCCTCGTCAACCAAATGACAGAATAACCAGACCAAATACTATTTTATTTTCTTCATCTAAAATACCGTTTAACGCCCCCAAAAAAAAAGAGACATCCAAAAAATTTGTCACTTCATGCTGCCATGCTTTTAAACAAGGGATAATCTCTATAATAAAAGGCTAATCAGTCACCTTTAGAAAAGTGTATTCTCTCTCGCATCCTCTCTCTCTCTCTCTCTCTCTCTCTCTCTCTCTCTCTCTCTCTCTCTCTCTCTCTCTCCTTGCATTAAGTTCTATTTCTTTAAAGTGATTCATATGATAGATTCAAATTCAACAAATTTACAATGAAAAATTTTAAATATAGAATTTAAATTCTTTGCATCAAAAGACCTAAAGTCGGACGTGCTGACTTTTTAAACCCAATTTGCATAATTATAGTCCATAATGGAAAATAGGTCCAACCAAACATATTTAATAAAGTTATTTTTCTAAATTAATAGAGATTTTGAGCCCGCATTTAGTCAAATGAACTTTTTATTGCGTCCGGACACGAGACACAAATTAGCATCCGCGGTCCAATTAAAACGAATAAATTTTTTTAGTGGATCCTTCTCTAAAAAAAAGTGTATTGCGTCCGGTGTCCAAATGCAATAAAACCTTGGTCAAATACAGGTTAAATTCTGGATTTTTGTGGGGTTTCAAAAACAAATTTGCGTAGAAAAAAAAAGTGTGTGTGTGTGGCGTATCCAGGCATGTTGGTTGACATTCACGGTATAACTCCTCAAGTCGGGAGTTCAAATCCCTCTAGCACAGTTGATCTTAAGGAGGTAGTACTCAAATTGTCAGACATATTAGAGATGACTTAAGACTAGTGTAATAGTCTCTAATAATTCTTTAATATATATATAATATATATATATATATATATATATTTATTTATATATATATATATCCGATTATTGGAGCGTGAGCTGAAAGAGTGAAGAGAGCACCATGAGATATGTAAGTGTAAGATTCACATAAATAGGCATTCGTTGAAGGAGAAATTATTGTGTGCGGAGAGCGCACGTAGAGCTGCGTGCGGAGAGCACATGCAGAACTATTTATGATCGAAGAGCACACGCAGAACTACCTGTGATCGAAGAACGTACGCAGAAAAACGCAGGCAATAATTAGACCCGTTGAAGGGTGCGCCATTAAAAGCTTTTCCAATAAGATAAATGTTGTGAGCTGAGCTCTGTCGGCAAAGGAATCTCTCTCTCTCTCTCTCTCTCTCTCGTTTTCACACTTTATATTATCTCTATTATCTCATGTGATACGACAACATGTTATGCAAATATTAACTTGGAAGATTTACATACATACCATCCAATTATTACGTGTGTAAAACTAAACTTTTAACTCTTACATATATTTTACCTTTTCTTTGTATTGAACTCATATTTATCTTTGAATCATATCAAATGAAGAAAGAAAAAAAATGGAGAAAGTGATGTATTCTTTTTTTTCTAATAGAATTATTTCAAAGATAATATATTTATCATTTGTGCACTTTGTGATCACATATCTTCTCGTCCGACTTGAGATAGCATAGTGGAGAAAGCCGACTGGAAGGAGCCAACTAGAGAGGGCCGACTGGAGAGGGTCCATTGGAGAGGGCCGACTGGAGAGAGCCCACTGGAAGAGTGCCGACTGGAGAGGCCCAACTGGAGAGAAAATTTTTGCATACATAAGACGTATGCAGCGATGTGTACGTCCATGGGTTATTCAGGGGATACATGAGAGTTATATAAGGGTTATACCTCTCTGTAACCCCCATGTAACTTCTTTGTAAACTACTTGTAACCTACAAATGAGTTTCGCGTTTTTGTAGTTTCATGGGTACAAATAAGTTACACTGAGGTTACAAGTGAATTGCACGGATGTTACAGGGGGGTATAACCCGGATATAACCTCCTTGTATCCCCTGAATAACCCCTGACGTACGCAGCGCTGCGTACATCTTATGTATGCAAACATTTTCCCAACTGGAGAGTGGCAGGTGACTGAGTTCAACATGTTATCCGGATAATCTCAACCTCTTATACTATACTACAGAAGATAATTTTTACCATAGACTATGCATGAATGAAAATGTGTATTTGAACATTTAAAAGTTAAAATAGTGGTATTTTTTATGTGATATAAAAAATATGGGTGATATAAACATACAAAAATAAAAAATAGATATTAAATAAATAAATATATAGGAGTTAAGTGGTACACAACTAGTTTCCCTTATTAACTTTTACATGAATTTTGTTATCTCATGTAAATATTAGTTATTATATGAATTAGTATGAGTTATTGTTAATGACTTATCATATGATTATATGTAAATTGGTTTTTTATCTTTCACACCCAAGATGTCGCAATGGCTTTCATATCCATAAAGGACTGTCATCATATGTTGAAAGTTAACCCAATATGTCAACTCGACTTGAACCCTATGCAAAAAATTCAGGTTCAAGTTTGGCACATTAATTTTTGAGTTATGTTCAAGCCCAAAATCCTAATGTGTTTAATCTTTCGGGGCAAGTTCAAATTGATCTCATATTGAACCTGCAACTCAAAATTGACCCATTAATCCTAATTTGATTTGAACTTAACACGAAATTAATCAAAATTTGACCCCAAAAAATTTATTATGTGCTTTAAATTTATTATGCGGGTCAAGTTCAAGTCAGTAGGGTCGAAAAACAACGGGTTTGGTTTATACTTTCTAGCCCATTTGTATTAGGATTAGCTTCGAGTCAAGTCAATTTTGAGTCAGGCCCAAACTCTGCCTGTGAAAATACTCGTATTTATATTCATTCAATTGAGTTCAAACTGTCTCTTGCAACATCAAACTCCTAAGACATATAATCTCTAATCTATTCAAACAAATATGTACCATATTAATTCAAGCGACATCGATCAACATTTATCGCATGCTTCGATGCATGCCTATGATCACATGTTGAAACATTTTATTTATCTATGCATTAAAAGAAATATTTTGGTTTTCATAAATTAAAACGGTGATATTTTCTAATGTGATATGAATATATGAGTGATATAAAGGTAAAAAAATAAAATTTGGCTGGAAATGTAAATACACAAGATTTAGGTTGTATATATGTAAATGCCTCTTAAATGAAAGTCTAAATTGAAGGCAATTTGAGCCCAATTATTTTCAATTTAACAACCTTCCGCACAACATGAATGCCGAACAATCTGGGTGTGGCCCGCCGGCCCATTAAGAAAGTGGCCTGTAAAGCCCAATCATCCGTTTTGTAAGGAATTGTCTAATTGCTCAAGAGATAATTGATGAGAAGAGGTCTATCGAAATCCTTATAATTCAAATAGTAGTTTAGAACTTTTAATAATGTTCATTAATTTGAAATATATATTTTATGAATAATTCTTTTTTTTTTGAAAAAAATAAATATATAAATAAAATACTTCTAAGGTAAAATTCATGACTAATAAAGAAAAAAATGGATCTGAATGTAACATAATAGTTGTATATTTCTTCTAGTACCAAATGGTCTTGTGCTCGAAATTCACATGCATAATATATATATATATATATATATA